TGGAAGAATGATATATGAACCCTGCCAAGTAAGATTAATGGGTTTCCCCAAATAACGAGACTTTCTTGTTGCATTTCTCCTTGCCTGGTTCTAATGGGTCTCGAGAGACCTAATGAAAGCAGAGGATGTGATTGATGGAGGGGAACTCACTCTTGCAAAAAGCAGATAAAGATCTCACCACAACGAAGATGCCCCTGCTGCTTGAGGACTTCGTTCCAAGCTTCGTCAATATATGCTTGGCAAGGCTTTCTTTCCTTTCGTGCCTTACATGTGTATACTTTTCGCTTCCTTCTATCAATCATCAAATCTTCCTTGACTTTTCATTTGAATATAGAAACCAAATTCCATTACTTCAATGATATTGTTAGGGTAAGTTTGACTTCTGTTCGAATCATTTTATCCTTCTATGAATGATCAACGAGTGAGTCGTTTTCGACTGGTGATACATCTGCCTACTGACTACGCTTCCATGTCAGCATCTGCCTGTGGGCCCCAGTTTGGTATCGAGAAATTTGCTCCAGTGGAAAGAACATTGATAGACTAAGAATATCCCAGATCTCATAATCATTTGAATTCCATTTTAGTGATTTGAAGCAATCCTTTTAAAGAAATGTTGTGATCTCAATCGGTCAGCCTAACAAACTTACAGCACACAAGCAAGGCAGATGATAACTCTCCTCGGGGAGAGAAGAGAGTAGCTAGGTCATCTCAGTCAGCTGGTGGGTTTCTCCCCCTTCCCAATGCATCAAATCAAACCACTGACAACAAGAAGTTGGCACATACGATAGATCTGGTTCTAACTAGAACACCTTATCCACCAAAGCCCGAAGCTCATGCCCCGTCCATGTAGGATAAGAGGGTTTTTCACCATCATTGCCAGCATTTTCCTCATCATCAACAGAAAGATCAACATCAACCAGTTTGTTTTTTCCTATTTTCTTCCTTTTTTCTTTAATAAGAGGATCGGAAACAATCTCATCAAATAGAAGTGACTTCAGCCTCAGCTGTCGCTTCGAATGTCCCAAAAGCAAGTGAAAGAGTTGGCTGGCTTGGAAATGGACGACTTGGTGGAGTTTTGGAATAAACTGCGCCAAGAGTAGTGCGTGTAGGAGACATCTGCCGGACAGGAGAGGCTTCCGGTGGCTGTTGGGAGGCTCTTCAAGACCTCCATGGTGTAAAAAACCTTCTTTGATTCTTCGCGTAGAAAACCCTAGGTGGCATGCAAACCCTAACATTCTGACTTTAATGAGAGTCAACATCTTTGTTATTCCAAAAGCATATGAAAGCTTCATCTAACTGAGGGACACGTCCAACATTGCTTTATATATATCGAATTCTGAATCCATTCCGTAAATGAGCCTGAAAAAGAGTCCGTTTGGCTACGTTCTTTTAGTTCATTTTCATGCAACAAGATCAGTGAAAAAGGGTGACAGTCAACTTCAATACGCTTAGTCCTTTCGCGAAACACTGTATTAGAGGCAATATGAATAGAGCAGCTCTATTATCACAAAACAACAGAAGAGGAGTTTGAACTCCCGGACCAAGTTCTTAAAGGAAATTGTTGTAGCCATGTCAACTCACTAGATGTATGAGCCATCGACCTATACTCTGCTTCTGCACTCGACCGTGCGACAACTGTTTGCTTCTGACTCTTCCACGTAACTAGATTACCTCCCAAGAAGAAGTATCCTGTAGTGGATCTTCTATCTGAAGGAAAGCCAGCCCAGTCAGCATCTGTAAAACCGAGAACCAGAAGATGCCCATTAGATTTATACAACAACCCGAGGCCTGTAGCTCGCTTGAGATACCGGAGAATGCGAACAACAGCATTCCAATGTGGCACTGATGGAGCTCCCATAAACTGACTTACAACACTAACTGCATATGAGATATCCGGTCGAGTAATAGTGAGAGAAATCCGCTTTCCAACCAGTCGTCGATATCTGCCAGGGTCGTCAAAAAAATCACCGTCATCAGCTAAGCGTTTTGTGTTCGGATCCATGGGAAACATCCACTGGGCGACCGCCTAGCGGACCTCTTTCTTCTAAGACGTCCAGCGCATACTTGATTTGAGACAAACTGATACCTTTCTTCGATCTAGCAACTTCAATTCCCAAGAAATATCTGAGTTTACCCGAGTCTTTAGTATGAAACCGATGCTGCAGAAACTCCTTCAACTTAGCCCACGGAGTCATCACCTGTGATAACAATATCATAAACATATACTACAAGAAAAATGAAACCAGCTCCAGTATGTTTCTGAAATACTGAATGATCTGTCTGGCATCTGCGAAGACCAAATTCGAATGCTGCCCCAGAGAATTTTCCAAACCAAGCTCTTGGTTCCTAATGGAAATTCAGCGAGTGTACACAGGGCTTTCCTTCTTTTCTTATCTAAGACTACAACTAAGCGAGTGAGTCTAGGGCGAGGGGCTCCCTTAGTGAATGGAGCAAAACACTAGTAGAAGAGAAAGCCTTCTCATCCTTGCAGCAGGTTCATTTTCTAGTAAACTTGGAAAGGAAAAACTGCGACTACTATCTCACGAACTGAATCTCATATAGAGAAGGAAGCCAACACGAGTATAGTACTTCCCTCACTTACGATGGCCGAAGATCAAACAAGAAATGCCTTAGGCACGGAGGGTGACTTGCAATAAGCGCAGTAGGATCTTTTTCTAGAAAGCAAGCTTTCACTAAAGGAGCGAAGCTACATGGTGAATCCGAAGAAAATGGTTCTGTAGATGCCGGTGATGCTTCATAAAGAGATTATTTATTCTGAAGGCTGTCATGCTGTCAAGCTTGCTTTTTTTGGTACTCCGGAGAAACCTAATCCCTCATATATTGGCATCACGCCAGTCGACTTATCACGGAACCCGGGTGCCTCTGCACCATCTCAAACCGTCGTCTCGAACTTACGGCTGTCTCCCAGCTGCAGCGATGAAGAGATATTTCACTCAGAGTTTTCAGTAAGGATAGATGGGTCGCTTTAAGAGGAATGACTGTAGCAAGCTTGGATCAGTGAGGGGAAGTTCAGATGACTATTCTACCTACGCA